GAAAAAGGATTGACACATTCAGTTTCATGACATTAAAACTATTTTGCATGGCAAACAACTTCAGGGCTGTGGGTAAAATTGTAATATTTCCAGAATATCTCACCTGGCTTTAGTGCATCTGCATATCAACAGGCATTCCTCAGGGGTGGAGAAGATTAGTTCATCTCCATATCAATGGGTAATTACTTGGGCTACCAAGGGCTTATCTGAACCTGAGAGGCTAGGGGGAGATCTTGCTTTCTTCTGCTGGAGCAGGAGAGAGAAGCGGCCCTGGCCCACAGTTTGTAAGCAATAAACGGGTTTTAAACTTTATTTCTCCCTTGGGCTGCTTTCGGTTTTAGAGGTATTTTGCCCTGGGGTTTCCTCTCTCCAGAGTTACAAGTGCAAAGTCAAAATGAAAAACTGGGCAGGTGGGGGGGGCAATCATTCCACTTTACATAACAGATCAAGATCTACTATTCCTAACATATGATAGTCCTTAAAAGGAAGAAGCAAAAGACCAAAAACTAAACCCTACAGAAAAATACAGACAGGTCACAGAAGAAATAACAACAACCTTTACAAATACTAAATATGTTCATTCATAAGGAGAGAAACACAATTTAATATTCTACTGGGATACCATTTCTCAGTTATCAAATTGTTCAAAATCAAGAATTTTGATAATACTCTGTTGGCAACACTCCTTCTCATACACCGTTGGATTCTACAATCTCTCGGGGAAACTTGTTGGTGTCTAACAAAAGTACATAGGCATTTGATCCCTGACCATCAATCAATCCCACTTCTGAGATTCTATCTCAAAGATAAACTGGTAGAAATGCAAATTAATGTATTTGCAAAGTTATTCATGGTATTACTTTTAATGTTTTTTCAAAAATGAGAAACAACTTAAAATACCTACCCTTGGGGATTGGCTGAACATGCAGTAAGACAGCCCCACAGTGGTGTATAGTGCAGTCAAAACAAGGAATGGGTGAGAGCTCTATGCAGATTATGGGTTAACCTTGAATATCTACTGTAAAGTTAATTTTTTTTTAAGTCAAGCTGGGTGGGAATGTAAATTAGTTCAACCATTGTGGAAAGCAGTATGGAGGTTCCTCAAAAAACTCAAAAAAGACATACCGTTTGACCCAGGAATTCCACTTCTAGGAATTTACCCTAAGAATGCAGCAGCCCAGTTTGAAAAAGACAGATGCACCCCTATGTTTATCGCAGCACTATTTACAATAGCCAAGAAATGGAAGCAACCTAAATGTCCATCAGTAGATGAATGGATAAAGAAGATGTGGTACATATACACAATGGAATATTATTCAGCCATAAGAAGAAAACAAATCCTACCATTTGCAACAACATGGATGGAGCTAGAGGTATTAATGCTCAGTGAAATAAGCCAGGTGGAGAAAGACAAGTATCAAATGATTTCACTCATATGTGGAGTATAAGAACAAAGAAAAACTGAAGGAACAAAACAGCAGTAGAATCACAGAACCCAAGAATGGACTAACAGTTACCAAAGGGAAAGGGACTAGGGAGGATGGGTGGGAAGGGAGGGATAAGGGCGGGAAAAAGAAAGGGGGTATTACGATTAGCATGTATAATTAGCATGTAGGGGGGTGCATAGGGAGGGCTGTGCAACACAGTGAAAACAAGTAGTGATTCTACAGCATCTCACTATGCTGATGGACAGTGACTGTGAAGGGGTGTGGGGGGGGACTTGGTGAAGGGGGGAGCCTAGTAAACATAATGTTCTTCATGTAATTGTAGATTAATGATAACTAAAAAAAGTCAAGCTGCTACATAGTATACATGATAGGCTACCCTTTGTGTAAGAACTGGGGGATATACAAATACATATTATATATGTATTCCTAAATATATACGGCTTATGGTTTTTTGGAAATACAATTCACTCAGAAAGTCAGTAAGCACCCAGTCCATTCCCTGAGAATAACACTGTGGCAAAGATCATGCTGATAAGCCGGAAGACTCAGGTCTTTGACCTGTTGGCCTTTGAGCTCTGCTATCCCTTCTATGTCAAGGTAACGGCAACTTCCATGAGGCCAGAGGTAACACAGGGGTTGAGCAGAAAGGCAGCAGCCTTAGTGCTCTGGGTCTGCTGGAAGCTCTCTGCTGCTGAATGACCAGGTCCTGCCTGCTGCTGAGGAGGCTAGGGCAAGGGAGATACAGAAACCACTGGGCTGTTCACCTCCATCTTAAATCAGATACAGGCTCCTGAAAAAGATTACCTTGCTCAGCAAAGCTATGTTCTCTGCTACCGACTGCTTGCCCTAACCCAGAGCTGACTTGCTGAAAGTTGCAAGAAGGGGCCAGCCAACTCCGGTATTCTAAACTTTTCTTTCCTTCTCATGTAATGGTACAGCCTTGGCTGGCATATGATCTGCCTTCCAGGGAGAGCAGACAACAAGTTGACCGTTACTGAACCACACCACTAGCTTTCCAGCCTATGATACCCAGCTCCTCTGCGGCCTGCCTGCTCCCACAGAGCCTAAGACCCGTATGTTAGGTTACTTCACTCAGCACTCCACTCCCAGGTACTATATTCAGTATAGTGAGGATGGGGCTTAGTGGTAAGAGACATAAAATCCAAAGTAAAAATAGCTTCAACAAGACAAAAGTTTATTTCCCTCTCATGTAAATGAAGTCTGGAGTAGTCAGTCCGAGGCTGGCATGATGACCTACAGTGTCAGGGATCCAGGCTCCTTTCATCACTTTTTTTCAACACACATCTTCAACACATGGCTTCAACCTTATAGTTTAATATGGCTACCTGAGTTCCAACCATCACATCCACATTCCAGCTAGCAAGAAGGAAGAAGGGACAGAAAAGGGCTCATCCCTTTAAGGATACCTCCCACATACCACTGACCAGAACTTAGTCATATCACCACACACAGCTAAAAAGTCCACTGGGAATTGTAATTTTCATTCCAGGCAGCCATGTGCCCAACTAAAAATCAGAAATCTCTGTTTCTAAGGATAAAGGGGCAACAAATATGAGAAGGCAAAAAGCAGTCTCTGCCATATTACTCCTGAAGCAGAGCATAAGAGAGGGAGCATGACCATCAGGCTGTACAGTCTCCCAACTTGTCCCCACCAGAAGATTTCTCTTCCAAGATTAACTCAGGTCTTGATTTTTTTTCCAAAAAGATGACATCTTCCCTGTAACCATCGTTCCTATTTCTTTCCCATAGACAACAGTTTCTCCCCAAGAGAACTCCTTAAGAGAACATAGAACAGAGTAAGAACAGAATGTCAGAGCCACAAAAGACCCCGAGAAAATGCCCAGCCCAGCACCTCCAGTGATAAGAATGTGGCCTTCAAGCTTAGAGGCCACAAGAGTGGCTGGACAAGGGTCAGTGCATACATTTATATAATCCGAATGGTGGCAGAGCTGAGAGGGAGCTCAGACTCTGGGGCCAGTGCTCCTCCTCCTTCCCACACTGACCTCCCTGGTACCAACCCACACAGCCCCTCAGCTGCAGGCAGGCCACCTGCATGGGGTTGATCTGGGAGCCAAGTGCACAGCCTGTCCACTTTCCTCCTCCAGAGTGTAGCTCTCCTCCCAGTTTGCTCTGTTGCCCTTGGCCTCTGGCAAAATATTCAGGGGTAAAGGGCAGGGCTTTTCTGAAAGAGGTGGGACCCTGGCTATAGCCCCCAAGCTTCTGGGAATGGCTAGGGCAAGTGGGGAAGAAGAGGTCCTGGAAAGGCCGTTCCAAGGACTCACAGACTGAGGCAGTGGCGCCTCGGACTCCCCTCAGAGCAGTGCTGAAGGGGTCTCTTATCTACTGCAGAAAACTGTGTCTGATGGAGAACTGTTTCCTTATTTTTTTCCTTCAAATGCTGTTCATACATTTTTCTTTCTCCATTTCTACTTATAACTTGTCTAGACCAGGACTTTGACATGTAAAGCAAGACCCTTCTTCCCAACAGCCAATGCCCAGCTGATTATTTAGCACCTTCTCTAGGCCTCACAGGAGCCCAGGCCATCACCTCTCCTCTTATTCACTGGATAAAGTAGGTACTCATTATGCTGCAACAGTGTGTAAATAACAGGTATTTGAAAACAGTGCAGGAGTCAGCCTATAGGAGCCTTGTTCATTAGACTACTGCATGTTCCCACAATGAAGTCCTGTGAATTAGCATAAGGAAGTAGTGTCTAAGTACTGAAATAGACAGCTTCCCCAGGGCATACCATAAACTAAAAAGACCAAAGTCCTGAATAGTGTGGGCAATACACTGCCTTTTGTATCAGAAATGGGAAAACAGACTATCTATATTTGCATTTCTTTATTTTGCATAAAGAAACAAGAAATTAATAAACATAGTGGGAAAAAAATGGATGGGATGGGAAAGTGTAGGGCAAGTAAGGGTGGGCCTAAGACTTTCCAGTGTATGAGAAATTTGGGGTTTTTTGATATTTGCAATGTGATTGCATACCTATTAAAAAATTTTACTGTTAATAAAATCAAATTTAAAATTTACTATAGTAGGTTCTCTATATCTGTAGGGAGTACAGGACCACCCAAGGTCAGCAGCGGGCTTTTCTACATGGGAGGTAGACGTGGCAGAAGATCAAAGCAGACAGGGAGGTGACCGCAAGCGACAGGGCAGAAGCAGAGGCTGATGAGACCCTGAGGACTTGCCTGCGGGAAGGAAATGGAACCAAGCTATTAACAGGAGGGCGACAATGGTGATTCTCGTTTTCATCTGTACTTTTTGAGGCTTACAAATGTGCTACCGCAGCATGTTTCACAATCCTAAAGAATGATTATTATTGCTAGTCCCTCAGCGACAGGGGCCCCTGCAGCGGAGCGGGCCGGGGCCGTGGGTGGGGGCGGGCTTCCTGCTGCGCCGCGAGAGGCCACCAGGGGTCAGCCGCACCCCGCATCGCACATCCCCAGTGCCGGGGGCCCCCCGCCCAGCGGACGTCCCTCCTGCCACCCTCGCGCGCGCTCCCACGGTCATTCGCTTACCACGTGCTGCCGTCTCGGGCCATTTCCCACTAACTGGCAGTCACTGGGGTCTCGGAGGACAGCTTCTGTCCGCAAGCTGGGGGCGTGGGGTGCGGGCTGAGGAGATTGCCGGACCTTCCCCCTGCCCAGCGACCCTGGACAAAGGCAGGGATGCAGGAATCCATTCCTCCTGCGGGCACAGGAAACTGGGGCCGCTTCGAGACAGCAGACAGCTTCTGTCCGCAAGCTGGGGGCGTGGGGTGCGGGCTGAGGAGATTGCCGGACCTTCCCCCTGCCCAGCGACCCTGGACAAAGGCAGGGATGCAGGAATCCATTCCTCCTGCGGGCACAGGAAACTGGGGCCGCTTCGAGACAGCAGCTCGGCCACCGAGAGCCTGGAGTCGCAGCAGTGGTCAGCCTGTCGGGGAGGAAAATCGCTGCTCCCGCTGCTGATGCTTCCCGCCTCATCAGGCAAGGAGGTGGGGGTGGCCCACGTATGTCAGGGGTGAGGCTGCCCAAACGCCACCCGCCGAGCCAGACACCCGACCCAGCCCACCAGGAGTTTAGGGGAACCTAAATGAGAGGCACTGGGACAAGAAGAGAAGTCAGCCCTGTGTTTCAGAAGAGCACTGAGCTGGGCCTCAGGAAGGCTGCTGTCACCCATGTGACCTTGGGAGAGGTATTTACCCTCTCTGGCCTTAATTTAGTCCTCTCTAATACACAGCCGTTAGATAAGATGATCTTTAGGCCTCTCCCAACTCTGATATTCTACAAATCTAAAACTTCCTGCTTCCCACCCTTCCCCACCCTAGATGGGCCTTTGCCCCAGGGGGTGTGGCTGGACCCAGACAGACCTCCTCCCCTAATGAGCAGCTCTGGATGGCCCCCGGGCAAAATCCCTTTGGAAGGCTGGGTCCAGGCCACCCTGAAGGTGGGGAAGGAAGAGGCTGCCGGCCAAACATCTGGAGAAATGAAACCCAGCAGCTCCGTCCTGGCAGCACCACAGGGGCGAGCATAACAGGGTAGGGGTCTGGGATGCCCTTCTGAGATGGTGACATAAAACCTGAAACCTGAAGTGTAAACAGGAGTCTGTTAGACAAAAGTGGAAAGAGAACATTCCAGGCAGAGAGAATGAGACTAACCTGATGCAGGACAGGGCTTAGGCTATTTGAGGAGCAAAGGGCACCAGGTGCAGGGTGATGCTGGAGGGACCCAGGCGAAACAGGATGCCCTGAAGAAACACTGGGATTCTAAGCACACTGAGTTGCAAGCAGTGGAGTGTGCTGATTTAATTTAATGTTTAAAAAGTCACTGCTCTGTGAAAGTGAACTGAATAGAGCAAAGAGACAAAAAGAGAGATCAATTAGGAGGCTCCTGCTGCAGCTCAGGTGAGAGGGGAGAGTGGCTTGCGCTCAGCCAGTAGCTGTGGAGGTGGAGACAGTAGATGGAGTCAGGATACATCTTGAGGCGGGGAGTAGGCGAAAGCAGAAACAAGAATTTTGCTGAAAATCTCTGCTTTGGTCAACTGAGCAGGATGGCTGGAGGTGCCACTTGCCAAGATGGAAAAGACCAGGGAAAGGGCAAAGAGATTGATAATTTGGAATTGCACACAGGTTTCTGTCCTATAAGCATCCAAGTGAATAAATTAATTTAGGAACCATCAGCAAATAAATGGTATTTTAAAGCAAAGGAATGGAGAGACTACCTAAGAAAAGAAGGGAGAGTGAGAAGAGAAGAGCCAAGCAGGGAAGCAGAGAGACAAGAGCAGGAAGGGCAGGACTGGGAGGAGGAGGCCCGGCCCAGAGGTCAGGAGGAGAGGGGTGCTGGAAGGGGCCCTCAGAGGAAGATGAGTGTCCCGGCCAGGTCAGGCAGCATGGAGGCCACGGGGGGCCTCCCCCAGGTCAGTGTGATAGAGCAGTGCAGGTGGAGGCTCCACGGGAGTGGATTCAAGAGTGCCTGACAGTGACGACGGCGTGCAGGGAAGCGGAGGAATGGGGTGGCACGTGGCTGCTTTCTCAGGTCGGCCTCTCGACCAGGTCAGCTACGAACTTATTCCAGCTCTCCTCCCAGGTTTTCATGGCAGCCTTTTTCTCCTTGGCTGACAGGGCGCTGTACCTGCAGGGGAAGAAGCGCCCAGGTTAGCACAGGGAAGGGCTGGGGAGCAGAACCGGAGTGTGAGGGGATCGCAGATGCTCACAGAGCACATTTCTCCCAGTGCAAGAGCAGTAACCAAATGGATGATGTGGAGAAAACCCACAGGAACGTTTCAGGCTTCTGCCCTAAATCTCTAAGAGAGGTAAACACAAATTGTGGGACAGACAAGAGTGGGGTGTGTGGGAGGCACGCAGGACTCTCACTCGATCGAGTTCATGGCCAGCTGCCTGAGGGTCCTCAAGTCAGCCATCGCACCCCCGATGCCCATGAAGGCCTCGTAGAAATCATAGGACAAGCCTCTGGCCCCGAAGACACCTGGGTCATCAGAGCTGATCACCACAGGGTAGCTGGTGGCCATCAGAACAGCCGCAGGGTGGTTTCTCAAGTCAGACACCAGTTTCAGAACCTGCCAGTAAGAGGCAAAGAAGAAATATAAACTTGGACCCATAGTCCATCACAAGGGGGCTGAAACCGAGAGCGATCCACAACTTTCTGACCCCCACCACCACTCTGAACACTGGGGTGACTTCGGCAGAGCCCCACACCAGGCCTCACGGTCTGCTCGATCCCCCTCAAGGATCATCACCACCACAAACATTGGGCTTCTCTCTTGGTCCTGCTCAGAGTGGCTCTCCCAAGCACAGCAAAGCAGGCTGGGGCCTGGGGGACCCCATGTGACTGTGGATGCAGCCGTGTCCTGTGGCCCTTCCCCCTACACAGGTCTCCCCCAATGTCCCTTTAGCTTTGTCCACAGCTCTGTCCAAAATTCCACCCTGATGAGGACCCTCATGGCTGCCTCATTGTTATGAATGATTTAGACAAAGGGCCATTCCTAAATAACTTTACTAATGGGTGTGAGAGAGTGGAGGAATATAGAAAATAAGTGACATAAGAAGAAAGAAATTATACAGGAAAAGGTTTGGGACTCAGCAGAGGTTGTGGGTGGAGGAGGTCATATGGGATTGGCCCACAGACCACGCGTACCTGGTTGGAGATGGGACAGACCTCTACGGGGATGCCCTTCCTCCAGGAGTCAGCCCACACTGCTGGGTGTCTGCTCAAGGCAAACCCATGGCCAATCCTGGTAGAGTTCAGTATTAGGGCATCCAGAAGGTTTCCGTCTATGAAAGTACCCTGCCAGTCTGCAGATAAAGGGGCAGTCTTCAATAGAATGCTCTGACCACAGACCAGCCTCAAGATAAATACACCCCAAGAGAGAAAAGGAAAAGAAATGAGCATTCACACACACACACACACACTCACACACACACACACACACTCTCACACACACATTTTCCTTATAAGAATGCTACAGTAAGGTATGGCATGCTTTATTGTATGTATGCATGCATATAAAAGAGGAAGAAGTTGAAACTTACATAGGCTTTATAAGCTAAAGGACACACAGCCACAAAGTAGCAAGCTGGGTTTCAAACTTTGGTCTGCCTGGCCCCACAGTCAATATTCTCTCTTTCCATTTTTGTTTAATTCCAGAGCTACTTTCTGGGAATTTTTTGCTTATGATCTTTACAATAATGTGTTGCAGACTCTGTCAATACAATTATCTATATGTATTTACTTTAATTACATCTTTAACAGTCCTCTCAGGGCAATCTCAACTGCAAGATGGCAATGGCAACATGAACAGGGTGGTGGCACTTGCTAGTGGCTGGCGACTATCCATCCCCTGTGCCTTCCTTGCTGGCAGGACCTTCTTTAGAGGGTGAAAATGACGGGGTCTGACTCTCCCAGCTTCCCTTGCAGCTAGCATGTCTAATGCTGGTCTGGGAGCCCCTGGGGCTTCCTCCCTATAAGAGGAGATACTCTGGAGGTAACACCTTGTCTTTTGCTTGACTGGATGTGATCCCCATGTAAAATGTGAAAACTCCACTTTTCTGTTAGGAATAAAACCCAAGAATTCCCACTGCTGGTTAGGTCATGTGTTTTAGGGGAATTTTCACTGGTTTTCTATCTAGTACTTTCTTTTCAAAGATTTTTTCTTTGTTTTAAATGAGGATATTACTCTTGAGCATTAATACTCAAATCCTGGCAAAAGCCCCTCCTGGTTAGATCCTTTGTCAGTGTTTCATACTGTTGAAAGGATCTCACACAGAAAGTATGATTTTTACAGTTAAATTACAAGTTCTTCAAGGTTAGCCTTCAAGGTTAACCCTACCCTCACCCCATCCCTCACAAACAATTCTTTAAATCTCCTAGAACAGGTTTGATCTAAATTGGATCTAAATTGACTTGAAATGTCAGGAAAAAGAGATTAATGAATGTGGACCCTTCCTCTGAAAGATGGTGAGATAAGCCAACGCTCCTGCCTGTGGTAAAACTCAAGCCCATCGCCCCCTCCTCATTTCCTTGGCCTTCGAGCAAGACAGGTGCCCAAGCACCCGGGGATGGCAGGGGCACGAGCTCTCCCCCAGTCTAGGGCCCCTGCATCATTTTAATCTGACGCTGCAGCCATGACCTGGGACTCCTTTTGCTCAGGGTTTACACATGTTAAGGGCTGGGGTATGGGGCGGAATGAGAGCTGACCATTAATCTGTGGACTGAGCTTCAGGAACGAGGATGTGGCTGAGCCAATGGCATTTCAGAACACCAGCCATCAGGCTGCTTGGGCCCCACTGGCATGTGTGCGCAGAGCCTCCTGATGCCAGGGCAGGCCTGGTCAAGGCCCTCTGCTGCCACTCACCAGTCTGTGACTTTGGGCAGGTGAGTTAACCTCTCAAGCATGATTCACTCATTATAAAATGGAGGTCCTCCAAGGGCCCAAATTCAGAGTCCACCACCCACCAGCTCTTCACCCTTGGATCAATTACACTACATTTGGTAATTGGGCTCCTCATCCATAAAATGGGGATAAAAAGACGTTCCTAGCAGGACTGGGGTGAGAACCCAAAGTAACATAGGTAGAGTGCCGCCAGGACTGAGTATATGTATGAAGTGGCCCGTCCACGCAACGACCACAGCCCCTGTCCACGCCACCCGAGGCCCCAGAGCTCCCGACGATGGCCAGGGGCTCACCTGCCCACCTCCTCCCCGGTGCCTACCTGGTGCCCCACAGCTCACCTGTCTCTCCAGCATGGAAAAAGTAAGGCAGTTTCACACCATACGAAGCTGGCATCATCAAAGCCTCCTTGTGATCGTTTAAGGAGTGGCCGGTGTCCTCGCGCCCCACCTGCAGGGCAGAGGAGGGACATGGAGGTATGTGCGGCCCCTGCCTCACCCTGCTGACGGTGTGTCTGCGGCCTGTGGGCACCTCTGTGGTGCCTATCACACAGCCTTTCAGGAAGGAGCAGCAGGAACAGGGAAGAAAAGGGAGAGCATCCATGCCCCGGAATGAATCCCCAGGCTGAGGCTGGGCCACGCGTCCTCCCGCCCTTCCTGCCCCGTCTTCCCGCACCTTCTGAGCCCCTGTGCTTCAGCCCCGGGCTCCGGAGGGGGAGAAAGCACGAGACACAGAATGAAAGAGACAGCGAGTGAATGGGGCGGAATGACAACGGGGACCCCAGAATGGGAGCTGGGACCCCAGTGCCATCACTGTGTCCCCAGCCAGGTCAGCATCCTCGCTGAGCCCCTTGGTGACTCAGTTGTGCCTCAAGCTGTGACCGAGGCAAAGTCCTGGTCCTCACATGAAACCACACACACCTCAGGGCTCGGAGCTCTGTGCCAGGAGCAGGATGCCTTAGGATGGAAAGGGTGCCTCCTTCAGAAGGCCAATTTTCATTTGAGGGGCAGCAATTTTAATTTGTGGGGGCACACTTTATAATAAAACAAACAAGAATATGCACGGTGGTAGAATGGAGGGTAGGCTTGAAAGAGGCTTGCGACTTGCAAGAGGCCTCCTCTGAATGACTACCCATCCCCTGCCAAGCCCAGTTTCCCGCAAGGATGTGTCCATCTCAGCCCTCACTGGGACTGTACCAGAAGCTCTGTCGAGAAGCTCCTCCTCAGGCCCTTGTCAGTGCCGCACACAGAGGGAGTGTGGAGGGGGGGCCATCTGCCCCTTCCTGGGGAGACCCTCTGAGGGCAAACCTCGGAGATGCCAGGCCCCCACCACAGGGCAGGGCTGAGACCTGCTCCTGCTCAGGCTGCCGTGAAAGCAAGGGCTTCAGTACCATGGAGGGTGAAATGTACAGCCTGAAAGAGGCAGCCAGGAGCGCATCTCAGCCAGTTAGTCCAGATTCATTTGGCTCCCCTAACGGGATGAGCTGTCACCCGGGAGGCATGGCCAGGCCACAGAACCTGCTCCAGCTGTGACTGGGGGCAGGGACACCACCTGCGGGTGTGCAGCTAAAACTAGCTGGGACCAAATGGGACAAGAAGGGACCACTCTCACATCCTGATAGTTTGCCCAGGGCTGCCTTCCTGCTTCCAGATGCCAGCCCCCGTGTGCTCCAGCGTCAAGGGGCAGATGTAAGGGAGCCATGTGGGCAGTGAGCCAGGGCAGAAGAAGGGGACACGAGCACCACTACACGAGGCCTGGAGCTCCTCTCACCTGGAGCGCCCCTTCCCAGCCCCTTCAGCTCCCTTGTCCCTGGGACGGTCACCCGCTGCAGGCCTCTCAGGAGGGCCAGCACTGAGCACTGGCCAAGCTGGGCCACTGGGCCCTCTGTGCTGCCCACCGAGAGCTGGTGCGGAGTCCCTTACCAGGTCAAACCCTGCCACCTGGGAGAAGTCGGCTCGCAGTGCCATGGCCACTCGGACTGATTTCATGATGTGGGACACATTTTTGGATCTGTGAGGACAGAGAGAAGCACAGGAGGCTGTGTGATGGTGGTGGGGGCACATGTGCCCCAAGGCTGCCCGGCACCTGGGCTGGTTTAGTCCAGGGCACAGAGTGATGGTTCCCAGCTTCAGCGCCGCTGCTCATGCACCCCCCACACCCGGCTGCCATGAGCCTGCTAAGTGGCTACCTTAGAGAGGTATTTTGCCCAAATCCATTCCTAATGAGGACTCTGGCTGGCTCCAGAGGGCCCCACAGTATCTGAAAAGCAGGTGAGGTAAGGAGACTCATAGAACAAATTTTATTTGTCTAAACTGGATGAAGCAGATTGGCCTTGTCCAAAACTGCTCTGCATCCCTGAGGGTGGCTCCTGGAAGCAGGCACAGGGCAGAGGCCTCTGTTCTCTATGAAGTACATCATGCCACCTGAGGCCCTGTGGGTCAGGCTGGACCCGGCAATGTGTCCTCTTCCTCTGATGAAAACAGCAAGGTCCTGGGCACGCCAGAAACCATGTGAACCACGCCATCTTACCCCTCTGCACCCTCCTGTGAGTCCAGGGTGGGGGCAGGCAGGCAGCATGATTGCAGAAGCGCCACAGGAAGGCCTGGCACCGTTCCATAAGAGCGTGGTCTCTGCCAGCAGCTGGCAGCCCTCAGTTTGTGGGTCTGAGTTTGCCTACCCCATCCGGCACCTACCCGTTCCCTCTCCCGCAGAGCCCTACAGGACACAGCGGCTCAGCCTCACACCCTCCTGCACTGGCCCCAGGCAGCCTCAGTGCAGAACCTGGAGACCACCCTGCAAGCATCCTGACTGGGGCATGCTGCAGGCCCCCAGGCCCTCACGGGGAGGGGAGGGGGCTCAGGGGTTGTGGCTGCGGAGGAGGCTCCTGGGAAGTCTGGCTGCCCTCCAGGGCCAGCCCTCATGGGGAGCTGAGCGGATGGAGGAGCTGCCCTCCCCCAGCCTGACCAGCGTGCTGGCTGCGGCCCCTATGTCTCCAGCCTGGACAGGTCACAGGTCTCAGACTGGCTGCCCTTCAACAGGAGTGGGGAGCTCTTGCTTTTGGTAAAATCAGAAGGAAAGTTAAGCTGTACATTTTTCTTCACTCGCCTGGGGAGAGTAGGTCCTTTTTCATACCAGCAGGTCACACACATGTGCTGCTGTGGGGTCTCCACACAGATGCTGAGACAGCTGTCACTCAAGCCCCATCACCAATCGAGCCCCTGCTCACTGCCACATACAACACATGGCGGACGTTAGGCAGAAGCCCAGTGGCAATTTGCAACAAAGAAATGAGCCAGTTACCCAAACACTGAGGCGAAAGCACTATACCCATAACTGAATCACCCTGGCCAATGTGGGGTCACAGGCCAGAATTATCTGGAAAATTGCTGCAGCTCTTCATTTCAGTCTGGATTCAAGATTCAAGCTACAAGTGACTTCAGAGACAGATTTTTGCACTCATATGCAAACGTGTGTGCTGAGCCCATGGCTTTTGGGCGCCAAGAAGTCTCTGATCCCCAGCCTCCCTTCCTCTCAACCTCCCTTCCTCCTCTTTCTCCTCCCCAGCCTAGTGGCCCTGCCCGCATCTCACTCTCCTGACTCCTGCACCATCAGCCATGTTCTTTCTCACCTGTGATCCGAATAAATGAGTTTGATTCCAATAAATCCAGGATGCTTTTTCGCAAACATACAAGCCACTTCGGAGTAAGTCCTCACTGACCACTCTCGGGAATGGGTCGTCCCGTCCAGTTCATACACCTGGGAGAGTGTCAGGTCTCGGTCAGACATCAAGGGAGAGCAGAGCAAAGCTCTCCTCCCATCCTCCAATAATCTCTGTAACCAGAGTGGACTTGGCAGTTTCCCTGTTCAATGCCTTTGACAGCTTCTGACAGTTATTAGATGTCCTAGATGCATGTGGAATAGTGCCTTCTGACGCCACAAAGCTAAGGTGTCTGCTATCTCATTGCTGAGTCCTTATACCCAGAGCCTGGCACGTGGTAGGGGCCCCTAAGTGTTTATGTAATGGATGAAGAAAGGTCAGCTGGGGAGAGGACAAGCCAGAAAGAGTGGCCCAAAGACCCACTTTGTTTCCCCACTCTCCCACGCCCAGGCAGGATGGAGCCCGAGGTGGCCATAGCCACTAAGGACAAGAGTGACATGGTCAGGGCAGTGAGAAGAGCTAGGAATGGGCAGCAGGGAAGATGAAGGGGAGAGACGCAGTGGGAAGGGGGTGTCAACAAATGCCTGCCTGGTGGATGAGCCCTGCCGAGCCCCCTGGCATGGGGCTGGCGTGGGCACGTGCCCTACAGCCCCTGCTGCCCATGCCCCACACTGGCACACTCTCACCCCTGCACTGAGTGGCCATGTGCATCAGCAGTTCAGGGGCAGGACAGAGGTGGGAGTTCTTGCTGGCTGCAGAGCCAGGGAGGGTGGGAGGAAATCCTATGCAGCGGTTATTTCAGGACATTAATTAAGCACCTACAGTGTATAAGGAACTGGGGTTGGCCTTGGAAGGGATAAACAAGTTGGAATAAGGCAGTGCCTGTTCTCAGGAGTTTTCAGTTTAGTGGAGAGAGACTATCTATTTTCAGTATATAAAGCAGGAAGAGTTCAGTGCTAAACAGGTATATGCAATCTCAGAGGAAAAAGGGGTTCTTTTGAACTGGAGAGGGTCAGAGAAGCTGTCCTGGGGGAAAAGGCACTGGAGTTGGGTCCTGAGAGGTGAGTAGGGTCTGAGAAGCAGGGAGCCAGCAAGCCAGTCCCCGGCAGCCTCTCGCTGAAGGGCTGCTAGCTGTGTCTAAGAAGCAGTGTTCCTACACCGAACCAGGACTGATAGGGGGTCGGGAGCAGAGGCTGAGGGAGGTAGGACAGGTGCTGAGAACTGTCTCCCCTCCTGAAGAGAAAGTGCTTCCTGCTGCCTGGACCAGCCCTTGTCTCCCCACGCCAGGAGCTAATGCTCTCAGGGCACCTCCTCTCATCTCCACCCTCACATGCCTCACACCACTTTCCCCAGCCCAGGGGAATCCTCTTACGTCCTGGCTGCACCATGCAGGCATTGCCCCTTGTTCCTGGGTGGCCTCCCCAGCGCCCCTTCTCCCCAAGCCTGCAGAGCAGCTGTTTTGCTCCTTCATCCCGGGGGTCCTGCTCTGCTGCATGGGTTGGGGGAAGTGGGGTAAGCAGGCAGCTGTTTCCAGCCCCGTCCCTTGGCTCCATTGGCCTTTGTTCCTTGGTTTCCTCTGCTGCGGGCCCAGTGAAACCTGACATTTTATGCATTCCCCCACAAGGCCACCGCAGCCCACTGGGTCACGGTTATCAGGTGGAACTCCCTGGTGGCTTGGCTGGGGGTGGGCGTGCCCAGGCTCACCCAGGGTGAAGGCTGGCAGGGCTTTGCAGAAGGGTCTCAGCTGGTATGCCCATTATTACTATTACTTACTGAAGGGATTGGAACACGCCACCCAATATGACACTTTTGTATAAGGATTAGTTTGAACAGAAGGCAATTGAGAAGCAGCGAGAAATCACAGCCAGAGCTCTTTACCACTCCCCTATTGGCCTAAAAACGGGACATAATTTCTGCTTGTGAAGGTGTTTTCCCTTCCACCTCCCATTCCAGGAGAAAGACCCTTATCACCAGAGACAGAAAGTCAGCACTGAGATGGGGCTGCACAAACAAACCTTACTAAGATAACCCTTATCTCCTATTAGTTTCCCTCACATATTTAACTTCCCACAAATACCTGCCTCTAGAAGCCCAAACCCATTTTCCTTTGTCTCCACAATTTACCACCATTTGTTAAAACAGTAAAGCACCTGATCTGCCCACTTCTTTACATCATCACTTCTTTTTTATGAAGGTCTCAATGCATGGTAAAAACTACATATTAACATCAAATGAGATTTGCATGTCTTTTCTGCTGTTAATGTGGCTTTTGTCAGTTTAATATGCAAGCCTCAAGAACAAAACCTAAAAGGGTGAAGGAAAATTACTTTCTTCCTCTCCTACTTTACCAAGGATTTTTAAGAAGAGAACACTTCCTGTCACTGATCAAGGCTGCAACAGGCCTCCAGGTGCTGTTAGAATCTTCAAATCTGTGATGCAGAAAGAACTGGTATGCTATACCCCAGCTGGTCTCACCCTGTGGACAGGGAGTCCTCTGGGCCCAAGGCTTTTCCAGGCAGTCTACAAAGCCAAAACTCTTTATAAAAGTGTTAAGATGTCTTTTATCTTTTTCACTCTCATACTCTTATGAGTGTAGAGAATTTTCCAGAAGATGCATCATGTATGAAAATATTGCTTGAAAAAATAATGGGTTGGGTGCTTGTGTAGTCTTGTGTTTTGAAAATTTTTCAGTTTCAGTTCCTAAGACAGGTTATATTAACAGGATGAAGTATGTATAGTACATACTGTGTGGTATTTATATATAAATATATACATAGTATATAGCTGTAAGCCACATAACCAGAAGCTCTTTGGGATCCTAACATTTTTCTGAATATAAGTTTGAGAACCATTGCATAAACCCAACCCAGATTGGTCCTTGAGTTGTTTTGGCATTACCCAGCTGACCTGTAGATGGGAGGATCAGAGTCTGCCCCCTGCCTTGACTGCCCTGTCTTGACTGAGTCACCTGCCCAGGTGTCCCAACTGAACTGCTTCTCCCTAGGGGTGGGGTCAGATCTGATCTCCCTTCTCCCCTCCTAGAGCACCAGAATAGGAGCTCCAGAAACCAGCCTTAACTTAGGAACAGTGCTGTCTCCGTGGAGTTCTAAGTGCACTAAGCCCCAGGGAACACATTTCAGAACTGATAGAGATGATGTTGGGGGGTGACAGGAGCAGAGGTGCTAGCAGAACAGAAGGGAAACCAGGAAAGAACCTAAAAAAAAAAAAAAACCAACAAATGACAATTCTGCCTAAAGAAGATCCTTAGCAGATGAATCAAGTTGTATAGACATGCAAACAACATCACAGAGGCTTCATGGGCTTTGCATCTGGCAGGGTTTCCAAGTCTCCGCTTCTATAACCCCCATACTCACTGCTAGAGATGCGTGGAGCCGTGCCTTCCAGGGGCCAATCCCACAGCTAGTTCCCTCAGCATGGAGAGCCACCCAGGTGGAATTGGGCTCCAGGGCGCAGATGCTGAAGCCACATTCACAGTGTTTGCTAGCTTCCTGGGACCCCAGTAAATCTCCGCCCAGACTGCCCACGCTCTATGCTCCTGCGCCCCAGGCCTCAGGCAAAGAGATGCAGGCCTTGCAGAAGCACTGAGGGCAGGATCCAAATCTCAAGAGTTCCCCTGCCTTAAAGAGTGGGAGACCCTTTCTGCAGGGAGCACCGCAGCCCCTCTCCCCAAAGCTGCTATGTGGGTAAGCACCTGGCACTGGCACCTCCTCAGCTACTGGTGAGCCTTCTGGGTTCTGGTTCCCAGGGGAGATACAATCTCTCCCAAGTCAATCACACCTTAGGTGTGACATACAGGGGTGTCACAAGGACCAAATGAGTTTATATTTGTAAAGCACTTAGCAATGATAACCGTTAATAATGTTATTACCAACCTATCACCAAATATAGAAAAGCAACTGAAAATCTGCAATTGTCCTAGGAGGAGGAGCTAAATCTAAGAATTTGACAATGTGTAAAAAAGGAGGTGGTGGTAGCCCTTCATAAGCTCTGTAATACAAAAGCTGCTATATCCAAGTAATAAGCACTCTTGAATTAAAAACACATTGGACTCAATTTAAATGACCTTGATTTTTAACTAGAGTTTGAGGACCTGTAAATTTGTGAGGAAATATTCAAACTACATACTACTTATATAAATCAATATAAACTTATAAAGTTTTATTGTCCATGATATTGTGGAATGATTTGAAGCTGGAAGGAACCAAAGGGAAATTTGGGAACAAGAGTTGCTCAGACCAGAAACTAGGACTCAGAATTTCTAACTTCCAGTGCATTAGCTCTCACTGCTAGGGCACCATTCGCTGAGCAAATGTTAACTGGGCCTCTAGGATGGGCCAGGCATATGCCAAGAGCTTTATGTCATAATCTCATTTAATCCTCAAAACTGCACTATTAGGTAGGCCTCATTTTACAGATGAGGATTTTGAGACTTTAAAAGGTTAAGAGCTCAGTTCTGCTCCCCAGTTGGAGGAGGCCTGGAGATCGGGTGAGGTTCCGAAGCTGGCTGACCCTGCGTGTCTCCTGTAATCAGGGCAGCCCATCCTCACCTTCAGACCATAGCGACAGTCAGGGAGTAGCAAGGTCTGGTTCTGGCCACACTTTAGAATCTCCAGGAGAGGGGGAAATGCCTGGGTCCCTCCTAGACCATCAGGATCTCTGGGGTAGCCATTTTTTTTAACCTCCCCAGGTGATTTTAATGTACAAGCCCAGCTAGAGCTGAGGGCTACCCTTTCTGTGGACTGGCGGCCAGGTAAGCAGCACTGTACAGATGTAGGGCAAGTGCTTTCACAAAGGCTGCAGGTAAAAGGGTCCCCCAGCTTCGCATGCAGCAACAGACAGAATTTTCAATGAGGGTCTGCCAGGAATCCAGGAAAACTTTGGGGGAAGGGGTGGGCTGGGGGCACTAGTGTTGTGACGCTTGACAGCATCCAAGAAATGGGAACAACCTTGATGCGTCCTCTTTGCTCCCAAGTGTCTCTCTCGTAAGACCTCCCATCAGGAAGTGCCAGCAGGGAAATCTGGTGAGGAGCCCTTTGGTCGCCTAAGAGCTTCACTCTGAAGACCGGCCAGGACCCAGTCTGGCCTCAGTCTGGCGGTGGGGGGAGGGACTGCAGCCCAGGAGATAAGACCCGCCTAGCAACGGTTGCTAATGGCAAGTAGCCTTTGTTATCAAGTATTAGTAACACAATAGGAGGCTGAGCAGCCAGGATAGTCCGTCAACATCATCCCAGCCCTGAATTAGCCCCCCCGAGCGAGAAGGGGAGTGGGGGTAGTGCGGCTCAGCAAAAGGATTCCAGAGCAGACGGTTTTTAGTTGTTAAATGTGTTGATGGCTCCCCCTACTCTGGCTAATGGGGGGCATTAAGGCACAGACTCTATTTCAGGAGGCCTTTGTTCCATGGTCTGAGCAGAACAAATGGTCAAATCCCATCCCCCTCAGCCTCCCCAGAATCCCAAATCCCAGCAGCCTTCTCACCTTTTCAGAAGGCTGGCTGGCAGGGGTGGGCAGAGTGGGAAGAAAGGGTGGGAGCTGGGCAGGTCCCCAAGTCAAAAGCCCTGGGGCCTGAGCCCCCCAACATAGAAAAAACACCCCGCGGAGAAGAGGGGCACGACACAGAAAGAGGCTGCTCTGGCCTCCCCTCCAGCCCAGTTTCTCAGCAACTTCCCCTAAACGCTTCCCCACCGGGCTCAAGATGAAAGTCACACCCTCAGCCCCACCCAGACCCAAGATTTTCTTTCTTCTTCCCTCCCTCTTCTTCCCTCTCTTCTTTCCTCCCCCAGGAAGCCCAAGGCTCTGCCAGGGTTGGTGGGCTCCCTCCCCACTCCACACTGAGGAAGCCGCCTGGATTTGCCCACAGGAAGCGACTCGCTTCGCCTGGGCCCGCCCCATCCTGGGCGAGGCGTCAGCTCAGCCGGTCCTGGGGCTTCCATTTCCTTGCAGAAGGACCCGAGCCGGAACCAGAGGCCGGACCTGCTAAGGGAGCTCCTATAGAGATGAGTGGGGCAGCCTCGGTGCTTAGAAGTCCAGTCACCCTACCACCCACATGACCTTGGTCAGGCTCTTTGACCTTTCTGAGCCTCAGTTTACACATCTGTAAAATGCATGTTGTGAGGTTCAAAGGAGATGACGTCAGTGAAGTGCTTTGTAAAGGTCAAGGTGAGGAAGGCCCTTTCTCAAAGTGTGGTGCAGGTCAGACACTCTGCATTAGAATCCCGGGAGGAGAGGAAGAGGCTACTTAACTTGGTAACTTTGCAGCTGCCTGGCCTCACCCAAGAGCACTGAGTTGGAATCCTGGGAGGTCTGGGTCCAAATACCTATTTCAAACAGCATGTCCAAATTATTCATATGGAAACCCAGGTTTGAGGACCACCGTCAACAAACATGGTCATCACTATCGTGCCCTTGAGGACACCAGCCATCATAAGGCCTGGTGCCAGAAATAACACAAGGCCACCAATGCCTGGTGCTAGAAACAAACATTCAGGGAGACAGAAGAGGGGCGTGTGGGTCCTCTGGTCTCAGGAAGGGTATGCAGGAGGACTTGGCTTAAGGGAGTCCCAGAGAGGACAATGGGCTTAATAGGGGCGGAGCCCAACTTAGAGAGAAGAGTTTTCCAGGCCAAAACATGGGAATAAATTGTGCTGGGAGTGCGATTTCTCCCACCCAACTTTGGCTAAGTTATGCAACAGTTCATTGCTTTCAGAAATTCTTAATAGATGGTGAATGGACCCTTACTTTTATTTTAAAAGGGTAATTTGTGCCCTTGTCTTATCCACCCTGCTTAAAAAAATGATGGCAGCTCTACTAAGCCCCGCTCCCACTTCCCAGGAACTCACAAATGGAAGGAGTCTGTACTCAGTGTCAAACCACCACACACCCTTCAGATCTTATCCCCTGAGAGAGGCCTTTTCTGGGAGGACTTGAGCCACCCTTCAAGAGGGTATTAACATATCTAAAGGAAAAGGTGGGTCAGTCCAGGGTGCAAAGAAAAGGGAGAGTTAAGACCTGGGAGGCTTCATCTTAGACCAAGAGAAAGGGATTTTTGAGCCACAAACTGGAATTATTGGTTCTTGGGGCATGTAGATCCTTTATTAGAGGGTCCTGAATCCCTTTCAGTCAAACTGGGGGTAGCAAAGTCAGTTTAGGAATCCCAATCAGAATTTAAAACATTTTTAGAATGCAAAAATGTCAGTCCCTATACATTGCATTATTTTCAGAGGCATTGTATAGATGTATATGGATACATGGGACAACACTGCCCGTAATAGTCAATTTGTTCTAGTGCTTTTTTTCATCTTGGGAAAGGGTAATAGCTTTCAGCACACTTTTGAAAGGTTAAGGCACTGTTCTAGACTCCCTCCTATTCTCAGAGTTCTAGGACAGGCTTATTAGGGCTACTGGCTCAGCAGTACCATTTTGGCTACAATTTGGCTTCAGGAAAGGTAGGATTTACCTTCACGGAAAGAATTTCCCAATCAGGAAGTTTTAAGTGTCTGGTCTGATTAATGGCTTTCTCTGAAAAACAGCATTTTGACTTTCTTGTTTATACATCTGTCTCTTATAAATTTTGTCAATGTGTGTCAGTCCTCTGGAGCACTATCACTTCTGGGTGTACAAACAATAACATTTTTGAGCCTGTGAAGACCATGGACTATGGTAAGAAAACCAAAATAATGCCACCCTGGGCCTTGCCACAAACTTGAAGTTTAGTCACCAAGGCATTGGTTTATTCAACAAATATTTGAATGAATGAGCAGATAGTTTGGATACAGTGTAGAGGAGAGCTCTACACAAAGGTCATTTGCCCCATGCCACTTAACATCTTTAACCAGTTCAAACTCTTGTGAGCCCACCAAATGGAACATTGAGAAATGCTGCCCACTGCCACAACTCCCCAGAAAGTCCTCAGGGAAACTCCCTTCAATAGAATCACCAGAAGAATCTTCTAGTAGCATTTGATCCCATGGGGCTGCTCTCCTCAACAGCTACCTCCCAGCAGCATAGAAGTCCGAGCTTCCCCAGGCCCAAGTCTGTAAATCTGAGGTCTGTTCATCTCTTAGTCCCTGAAATCCCTGTCACCCTTTGCTTCAGATCAAAATGTAAGTCCTCAAAGTCAGTTTTGTTCTTTTTTAAAAATTTGTATTGCAGTCCCTTCTTTTGGACTCTTCCCAGTCCTTTCCATTCCACTCTCTTCAACTTCCTTAAAATCAAACCAGCAAAGCTTTCTTTAACCCCTCTGCGGACCCCATTCTCAGCTTCTTGCAGGCGAGGCACCTTCTCCAGCACTGTGGCCCCTGTACCCTCATCTGAGTGTTTCGCCACAGGGTCCAGGGTGCGTTGGAGCCCAAGGACACTCTCCCCTTAGAGCTGGCACTTCCCTGGCCTCACCTTCAAGCTTATCAGCCACATGGCAAGCTTCTGATAAATTAAGCTCAAATTTGTAGTCCCTTCCCACCTCCATCCTTCGTTTCAGCTTCTTGTTCCCTCCTGCTGCCCTGCCAGCTCCCAGCCTTCTATGCTCCTGCTGGCACCCATCATTCCCATGTCCTTGTCCCCAGGGCCTTGCCCAGCCCTTCCGATCTGTCCTGCTAACCCGGGCACCCCAAACCGTCTTCTTTTCCTACAGAAGGGTCATGCAAAGAGAATCACACACACTCATCACATTTCAGGAAAGAAGAAAAATGGTAGGGCCTAGAATGGTTTGAAGGGAGACCAGGGAGGAAGCTTCTGTGGGGGAACAAACAGGAAGCAAGGAGCATGTATAAAACCAAGAGGAGAGAAAGGCAGAGGAGAGGGCATTGTGCAGGGAGACCCGAGGCCTGCACCAGGAGCTGCTGGTGGCAGAGAACAAGGGGCCCCAGCCTGGGAGGAAAGGAAGTGAGGGCTCTCTGACCTTCCTCAAAGACTCCCTCAGCCAGCTTTGTCAACCTACAACTGCCATGCCCTGAGCTTGGCTAGGAGACAGTGTCATGTGTACTTGGGAAATGTAGGAGGCAGCAAGGCTTCCCATCAACCCCTCTGTGGTGACCGCATTGCCCATACAAGACCCTAGTGAAGATGCCCGAGCTCCACAGAATGGGCCCCCAGAGACTTACGCATTCCCCCATCACATCACATGCAACAAGACGCATCTCCACATTCATCAGCGCTCCCTGTACCAAGCCCGCCATCCTGAGGGACTCAGCAAAGCTAAATTGTGATATGGAAGGAGAGAGGTCCGGAGGGTCCAGGCGTGAGACACTGCTCACAGTCCAAGGCCAGGGCACCCTGAGCCTGCAGGAGGCCCTGAGAATCTGGGAGATGGTGTGAATTGGGGCAGCACAGGGCACTAAGCTACACTCACAGCGCCACCAAGGCCAGACCAGGCCAGCTGCGGTTTCCTCCTCACGGGGTCGCTGGAAGGCATATGTGCTCCTGGGGAGGAAGCCAGCAGTCAGTCCTGCATCGCTGGCTCTAGGTAGGGAGCCTGGGAAGACCACAGGCAGAACCTGAAAGCCAAGCCGGAGGGAAGGAGAGGGGAGGCAGGCTCACCAGGTACAGCATGACTCTGAGCTCCAGGTAGAGCACATTGTCCTGGTAGAACTCCTCCAGGCTTTGGAAGATGTAGTCTCTGAAGACGGGTGCATAGTGCACAAGGCCAGAGACTGAGAGGAAGATGGTTTCAAACTTGGACCAGACGATGTCTTGGTTTGTATAAGTTGCCTCAGGGTTCTCCGTCACCAGCGTGCAAGCCCTCAGCAGGCTGTGGAGGACACAGGGGCAAGCGGAGGAGGCAGACGTCAGCACACCGCCTCCAGGCACCTGCCGGGTTCCTGCCCTCCCTGCTTCTCCCTGAAGCAGCAGCCAGGGCGTGTCACAGTGAGCAGTGGACAGAGGCCCAAGGGAAGCCTCCCAAGCTCTCTGGAGGAGGCCCTGCCCTGAGACACACTCTGTGTGCCCAGGAAGACACAAGCTCTCTGCCTACAGGCCCTCCTGTTCCTCTCCAGAGGCTTAGCCAATCCATTCCCATTGTACTTACACCCTAGACCAAATTCTCTTGAGAGGGTGTTATGCACCGACTTGTGTCCCCTCCGAATTCATATGTTGTAGCCCTAACCCCAATGTGACTCTGTTTGGAGCTGGAGTCTTTAAAGAGATGATTAAGGTTAAGGGAGGCCCTAAAGGTGGGGCCCTAATTAAATAGGGCTGGCGTTAGAGACACAGTAGTGCATACATAGAGAAGCCACCAGAAGCTGACACCTTGACCTTGGACCTGCAGTCCCCAGACTGAAAAAATACATTTTTACCATGTAAGCCCCCCAGTCTACAGTGTTCTGCTCTGGCGATCCCAGCACCCTAAGTGGGGCGGCATGAGGGAAGTAACTCTGGACTTGGCACTGCACGGCCCACATTTACATCCCTGAGAGGCCATTTCCTAGCTGTGTGCCTTGGGGATTTCCCTAACTATGCTGAGCTTCTTGTTTCTTACTCACAAAGGGAAGTATGGAGCAGAGCCTCATGAAAGCACTCTGTAGATGATTCTATGCCTAAGGTAATTATTACTTATAATATCACTATTTAAGTCACTATTTAAGGTTGTTTATTGGCATGTTGCTTCATCGTTTCCAGGCTGCTGCATTGCTCCAGGAGCTGGGAATTTTTCTTCCTTCTGATCTTCTTGAGGATCCAGACTAATCCCATTTGATGCAATCACAGTGTTGCTATACCTTTTGCAAATCAAATCAGATTTTAAGTGTGCCAGGAAGTTACTATGGACAGAAAAAGGGCTGAATCCTCTGTGAAGTGAAGCATACTGTAAAGTTAAAAGAAGCTTCCTGCTGTTTTTTAAGGTGGATTTTTATACATGGTTTGTACCAAGGAAGACATACCCATACACTACCCGTTGCCTATGGTGGGCATGGGGTGTGCTCCTTCTGAGCTATGCTTACCTGCTGTCAAACTCAGTGATGTTTGGCAGTCCCTTACGATGCTTCTCCAGCAAAATCCACTCTGAACATTTCACTGGTGGAGGGGCTGGGGGACCTGGATAAGCAAATTTGAACTGCAGGGCCCCCCTTGGGGTGAAACAGAAATGGCAGTGAGGCCTATAGGTGACATTTTTCACCAGCCAGTCCATACTCAGGATGCCAAAGTCATGGATGTGTAATGCAGCTCCTGGGACAGGAAGAAGAGGGGCGGGGGTGCGGTGAGGCAAAGAGCAGAAGTGCAGGAGCCACGGCTGGGGCTTAAGGGCAGCACGGACGGACAGGTGGGACTTCGAGCCAAGTTCCAAAGGCTTCCCAGGCCTGCACCTGCCTGGGAGATCTACAGCCTTCTTTGCTCTGGCTCAGGGGGGCTCCTGTGGCTTCCTCCCTCACTAGTCAGAAGCCATGGTGGCCCCATTCAAGAGAGATGGCATGGGAGGGTAGGGGAGCATCAGGTTTGGAATCAGAAGATTGGGGTTCAAGCTGGGGCTACACCAGCTCCTAGCTCTCCACCAAGAGCCCAGGCCTTTAAAGAAAGCCCCGCCAGCCAAGGGTGAGTGAGGGGCTTTGATAAAATGAGCCCCAGCCCCTACCCCCACCCTCATCCTGCCGCCTGCCCCACCCACTGACTCTGTGGTCCCTGCTTCCCACCCGGATCTGCAGGTGTTACCATGGGAGAGCCTATGCCTTTCCTTCAGACCTGATGCCCTCCAGGCACAGAATACATGGCCCCCTCTGCTCTTCTGGCCACATCTTAGCGCCTGGCCTTGACACTGGTCCCTTTGCAGGTGTCCCAGCGATGCAAGCCTTAGGTCACGCTCTCTAAACCTATGCTATCAACTGGAGATGCTATTTCACCAACCTCACAGGTTTTTTAAAAAATTCCTATTTGTAGCATTAAAATAATAGAGGTATTCCTTGTAAGCTGGAAACTATTTATTTGTGCATGATTACATTATTTTTACTATTCATAGAGCTGTACTTACACTATAGAAATATACTAGTAGAGATGTGTTTATCTAGGATCATATCTCATACCATGTCCTCTGATAACTTAGCCCCTGGGGAAAGGGCAGAAGCCTCAGGTACAAGGGGCTGTGGAGGTGTGAGAAGGCTTATGGGCCTTGTCAGAGAGGCCCCCCCAGCATCCAGGGCCACGCATTCTGTCTCAGAGGCTCAGAGCCTGCAGAAGCAGGACTTTGGGGTTTCTGGGCCTAACTGGCAGCCCCCTCGGGACACCCCTCCCCAGTCTGCCAGCAACAGCAAAGGCCCAGGGCAGCAGAGCCCCCTGTAGCCACAGAGGAAATGATTTTCCCAACCAAGCGCAGTCCCCCACTTCCCAGGACCCCCAAGCCAACCCCTCCAAACCTCTACCTTTCGGCATCTTCCTCAGGATGTGGAACACCCCACTTTCCTCAATGAGGCTCTTGGCCTGGAAGAAGTGCATGCTGGGCGGGAATGTCTGGGTCCGCATGGCCTGTGCCACCTCAGCCCTCTTCAGGGCCATGAGCTTCTGGTTGGCCAGCTCCTCCTGTCTGTTGAGCACCAGCTGCCCTCCCAGCCTCATCGTCTTCTCTCTCATTAGCAGCTGCTTTCGTGCTACATCTATGGGCACAGCTGAGCAGGACAGAGACATGGCCACCACCAAAAGCAGGTAGGGCAGGGCTGGCTGCCTGGACCAGCCACCCACGAGCATTGGGACGCCTGGAGAGGAAATTGCTCAGATGGAGACTCAGTGGGGCTAAAGGTGGGGGCTAAAGATTTAAATGTGGAACTCTTCTCCATCTGCCACCCTGCTGTCAGATTACCGGCTCCGAGACCCCAGAGGTAGACACGGAGGGTCCCCAAAGAAAGGCCCCCGGAGTGAGCTGCTCAGCCAGCACACCCTGCTCATACTCAGGAAGACACTGCAATCAGACTTGTAGTGTTTCACTGTTAAATATAACTAGGGTTCTATTTAAAGGATCACAAAGCATATGAAGAAAGGCTCCAACATGATAAAGAAACTAAAGAAAAACCACAGAGAGAAGGAACCAAAGGGAAAGGGAGGCAGTGCAAGAAATAGAAGAAACATTCAAACGTATGTTAGTGAACATCCTGAGAGAGATGAGAAAGGACAGTGCCTCCATAAAACAGCGACGGGGGTTATGAAAAACAAACAGAATGTGAAAGAGCTTTCAGAAATTAAACATAGGAAAGCTGAAACTTTAAAAACTTACCAGCAATATTAAAAGATGGAATTGAATCAAATCTTTTAGAAAGTAGGACAAAATAGGAGAGAAGCAAATTAGATGGTAATTGGTGCAGGAAATCCAACACCCAAATAACAGACATATCAGAAGGAAAATGAAAAAAATAGATGGGAGAAAAAAGGAAATAAGTAATACAAGAAATTGGCCCAATTCTGAAGACCTGAGTGTGGAGATTGATAAGACCTGTTGTGTACCTGGCACAGCCCACTCCCTCAACAGCCGCACTGAGCAACAGCATCTTGATTTTCCAGAACATGAGCATGAAAAAATTCTAAAAGCTTCCAGAGAGCCTCTAGTCCAGGTTCGCAGTGAGCAGGGATTTAAGAGAGGAAGGAAAGAAACATGCGTTCATGAAGAGCCTCCTCGGGCCAGGCACCATGTTTCACACTTTACCTAAGGTATTGATTTGAATTACCTTTAAGAACTGAGAAATATGATGCAGTATCCTGGAAAGAATCAAGACTGTAATTCGGAGACCTCAGAAACCATCCCAGTTTCGCTTGTCTTTTACCTGTGAGATGTGGGGCCGTGCACTTTTTGTCTCTGGATCTCAGTTTCCTCGCCTGCAGTGAGGATGGGCTGGACTGCATCAGTGGTTCTCAAAGGGTATACATGTATCCTCAGTGATCTAAAATGCCACTGTTTAGGTTAAACTGAAAAGTTTTAAAGCAAGTTAATCTAAAGAAAAATACTAAGTAAATGGAGATGTAGGTTTACAACAAAAATGGAAAGTTTGGTAATATTGAAATGTATTACAGCCAGGATTCTTCCTAGGCCTGGCATTTGATGATCCTATGATCTATCAGACACCAGGAGGGAATTTTTAAGAAGGAACTAGATACTCCTTACTCTGATATCACAATGACGGTGGGGTACCCCCCTGAATCAGAGTTAGACTTTTGAAGAACCCTCAACTCTCTTCTCAGGCTTCCAGCAACTGAACTCTCTAGGGCCAGAGGACAGTGATGTCCATGTCACCACCAACACCCCCACCAGCCCCACTGAACCCTCCACGGCCCCAGCCCCTTGTCCCTCTCTCCCTGGTGACTCACAACAGGCCACCAAGTTCCAAAATCTCCAACTCCGCCCTCCCCAGGAACCCCAAAGGTCTGTGTGTGGCCAAGCATCTGGGGACATTTTCCCACCAGACAGAAGTCTATGTGGCACTGGCCAGGCCCCACCTGGTCAAGCATAAGGAACACAAGCCCTGTCGGTGCTTTACTGGCTTCACTTTCTCCCTCCACAGGACGTGTCCCTTTCACTTGTTAAAAGAGGGAGCAGGAAAGCTCTATGAACAGAGTGTTTCTAGACCAAGAACAAATGGATGGACCGTGTGCATCTGTAGTTCTGAGTAGATGCCCTTGTCCCCACCACCATTTTCAAGAGCCTGTTGTGGAGAAAGCCCAGTTCTCCCTCCCCACAGAAAGTGGCAGGCCCACTCAGGGTGGGCACAGGGAGGCTTGCGGCCAGGGAAGCGAGCCCTGGTGCCCAGCTTCCCCCGACTGTACCTCGCAGCCCGGGCACCACCCAGACGGCCACCCCAGGGGATCCAGTACCTCAGAGCAGCTCCAGAAACGGTAACCTGTTTGCTTCACCCCCAACAGCTGTGTCAGAAGCACCAGAAAAGCTCACATTCTGTTTCACTTCCTGCCAGGACAGTTTTCACTTTCCCTGGCCTCGTGGTGCTCAGGCCTCCAGAAGATGGAGAAGACAGGGCCTGCCAGGGTGAGGCCCCAGCAGGCTTGGGTGCGTGGGTTTATCTGTGTGGTTATGTGTCTGTGTGTGTGGGGGGGGTTATGTCTGTGTTCATTGTTCATGTGTGTGGATGTGGGTTTACGTGTGTGCTTGTGCGGTGCTTGGTTTTTTTTTATGTTCATGTGTGTGTGTGAGCTTCTGTGTGCATGTGGGTTAGTGTGTGTTTGGGGACAGGCTGTGTGTGTTGGTATGCGCTGACTGTGGGGTCCAGCAGGTAGCTTTGGACAACAAACTCCACAAGGAGGCACTCCAAAATCTGCTCATGAACTGTGAGAAGCACTCCCTTCCTGGAAATGAGATAGTGAATTGTGGAGCAGCCCACAGGTCAGATGGAGGGGTTGGGGTGTGAGGCGGCAGCTGGGAGGGGGAGGGTGGGCAGGAACATCAGAGGGATGCCAGCTCTGGGTGCACGAGGGGACTGGACCCAGCATGGGCCAGATGCTGGAGCCCCCACAACTGTGTGGCCTTGGCCATGTTATTCAAATAGCCTATTTTTCATTTTTCTGCTCTGAACTTGGAGATAATAAAAACAAGTACTACATAGTGTACATTGTGAGAATTAAATGAATAATGTATGCAAAGGGCCTGGTGCATAGTAAGTTCTAGTAAGCATTAGCCACTACTATTATTGGAAATAACTTGGGATACATCATCCAGGCCAAGTTCACGAGCAAGACAGGGGAACCTGTCAGTGACTGCCGTGGTGCATGTGTGGTCTCCATGCATGTCACGTGCCTCTCCTCTTCCCTGCCCCCTACTCAAGGCCCTCTGTCCCCTAAGAGTCACTTCCGCTTCCTCGGCTCCTCAACATCTGGGGTCTCTGGGTCCCGAGTCATTGTCTTCTCTGAAAGTAAAAGAGTCACCCGTTTCATAAACAAGAAGAAATCCAAAAGCAAAAATAAAGAGGAATTAGGAGTTCCCTCATCAGGCATGCAGGATTAATTTTTTTAGGAGTCAGAGGATTGAGAAGGAGCAAGCAGGTATTCCAGAAAAACAAAGCGGATCAAGGCAGAAGGAAAAGCCCAAATCGCTGATTCTGAACATGAATCATTTAAATATTTTTTTAAAATACCAGATCAGAGCTAAAGATAAAGCTTTTCTTTCTAAAAGTTTTGTTTAAAAATAGGAGCTGATTTTCACATCTCAAAGTGCATGGCTCTGGGGACCAGCTCGTGTCTGGGCCCGAGGGAGACGGCAAGCCACTGGGAGTGGGGGTGGGGTGGGGCTCGAAGCTGCAGTCACCACACTGGGCAGCATCTCCTCGGGCCAGCGGGGAGGAGGACCCAGATCCTGAAGTGGGCATGGAGAGGGGAGTGGCTGGGAGCCCCTTTGGACCCAGGACAGAAACAGGGATCCTGAGCAGGAGGAGCCAGGAGGATGAGCACCACGCTCTGCAAGGCTCCCAGGGCAGTGCACTGCATCCAGAGCCACATGCCTGGCCTTCTGGGGCCAGCAGCCTCCTTTGAGGTGTGGTTCTGAGTAGTGTCTAGCAGAAAAGGTGTGGCATCCGATGACAGCAAGCAACAGTGTGAAATGGTGAGGTTGTGTGGAAGAACACTCTGCCGAGGGCACAGACCATAACAGGCAGGACAAGGTCCTATTTTTTATGTTTTATTGAGGAAGACCACCAGCAGAACTGCACTGTGGTAAAAAATCTGAACATCTACAGGGCAGAGAATGGGAACCAAAGAACAATGACTATAAGTGTTACCCTAAAGAGTGAAGCCTGAAACAACAGGTGTGTTATAACCCCAAAACTGGACACAGGAGAGGTTTTCATGATTAATGGTGGTCTGTGGCTACACAAATATTTGATAAGTATTTTCATTGAAACATCTGTTTCCCACCAATACCATGAATTATTTGCTGTTGCTAAATATGACCTACGGCAGAGTTTAAGTAAGTTACCTAAGGTTGAAGGTTTAGTGCTGAATATACTACTTTTATAGACAGTAAATAACATTCTCTGACTCCCAAAGTTAAGACAATAGAAATGATAATAGCAGAAACTGAGATCTCTATATATTTACTCATTTAATCCTTGCAGTGATCCTGTAAAGTAGGGCTAGCCTCTACTGACAAATGAGTATACAGAAGCGGTAGCAGGTGAGGTAACTGTAAGATAAATTCTAGCCAAAATAAGCAGGCAAAGAGAGGCAACAAAGGGCCAGGTAGTTTATTTGAATGCAAATTCCCCGGTGATGTTCCACGGTCTGGCTATCACAGGCCAGGGAAGTCACACTCAGCAGTGCAGGCAGCGAGTTTTTAAAGAAGGTAGGGGGAGGCAGAGCTTAGATTTACAGCGGTGTGAGGATTGGCTAGCTTAAGGCACATTTTTCAGGTTGGGAGGGGGCAGCAGCCTGGGACTTTGGCACTTCATCAGTGTCTGATGTTTTTACTCCTCTCCCCAGTGCCTTCAACCTTACATTCCAGCCTTTTGGTCATAATGGGCGATGACTTGATCTGGCTACTTTTGGCTGACAAGGGGCATTGTGGGCGGTGGGGGGGGGGTTCGTAGCATGTAGTTATATTGCTCTGACTGCAAATATCTTGCTTTGCTTTTTCCAGAGGCTCTCACTTTATTCTGTCTAAGCTTATGGTCTCTGTCTCATTTTCTCTTCTACAGATAGAGACTCTAGCTGCTGCCAGGGAAAAGGGGCGATGACTGCTCTGGCTGCTTCATGCTGAGAAGGGGCACAGTAAAGTGTGCAGCTAAATTTTTATCACTGGTCAGTTGAGAGGGCCTTGGAAGGTTGGCGCTTCTATTCTGGAAGGACAAACTTGATGAGGTTAAGAATGCATGGCTGAATATGAGAACTAGAAATATGAAGAGTCTAATTGAGAATCATAGCCAGGTATAATGGGGAAACTAAAATTCTGGATCGAGTTTACATCTCAATGACTAGTATTAGGATTTAGTATAGATAAGATTGCATTATTGAAACATTACTTTTCTCTAAAATCACCCTTATTTTTATTAGAAGTAGCCAGATTAAGAAAATAATTAACAGTTGGCTTGATTATTTGCATAAGTGCAGCAAGAAGAGCAATTGATTACATAGGCTCTTTTAAATGTGCTTTGCTGGAACTTTTTGTAAGGAATTTCAGATTGAACTTTTAAAGGCCTCTTGAGGCCAGACAGCCAAGCCAGACTTGCTATCAGGTTTTGCCTGCAGTACCTATAGATCTGGGTGAATTCCTCTCTTCTTGAGTTCTCCAAGACATCCTGAGGTTCCTGCTCTTGCCAGGAAGTGACCTTCCTTACTCACCTGGTAAGGCTGCTGTGAACCTTGTAAGCAAGGTACCAGGCCAGTTCTTCCAAGGGGCTTTGTTGGCTTTATAAAGTCAACCTTAGTTCCTTAAAGCTGTTCATATCTGAGTTTATGCACATGTCTCTCAGGTATGACGTTCCAGTTAAAGCTTTGGTAATATAACTAGTGTTTCTAATTGGTCTTCTTACAAGGAAAGCAGATTCTTATTGAACTTGTGCAAATAAACATACTGCCATGAAATATAAAAATAGTCACTGATAGTTTTTTAAATTCTGGAGGGATCAGGTAGAGAGAAAGATAAAGTTTCAATTCTGCTTATAAAGGCAGTCATTTGCTAAACTGTTGTCAGCTTAAGAGAAAAAGCTTAAAACACTTTATCAGCACGTTTGAAACAAAAAGCCACAAAATCATCTTCCTTAGTTTACTTAATCTTATGTAACTAATACTTGTTCTACTGAAATCTAGTTCTTTACTAGCTTAAGAGTAATAAAACAGTGACTATAAATAATAAAAGACTTACAAATGACAATGGTTAAAGATCTGATGAGAGCTTACTGTAAAACAGTTGACATAAGGAAATTCTGATATTTCTGTAACACAAAACATTCAGTAACAAAGTTTAGCATTATTCTTTTTGACAGTGCTTTCTAGGTAATTAAGCAAGTAATTATATATTACATAAATAAGCTAAATTAGCCAAATACTTTCTCCAATGAGAAAAAGTTCCTCTGACATGTTCCAGGGGCCCTCTGACATGGAAAAATATCAGAGTTAACTAGAGGTAAAAGTACCTTTTTGAATTTGATTTTGGGAAGCAGTTAAAAGTTTTAAGGCACTTGCTTAAATAGGATTATAGGTTGCTATGAAGCAATACTTATCTATTTAACCAGAATGACAACAAAATACCTCAAAGGCAAATAAAGGTTATACAGTTGTTAGCAAACTTTAGCTTTTAGTCCTTTTAATATTAAGATCTCATTTTCTTAAATACTCCAACAACTCATTGAGAGTTTAAGCATGAGAAACTGCTTTGATAAAACAATTAGAGAACTTTTTGCAATTTTTCAATATTAAGAGCAGACTAACAGTTAAGAAAACTTTGTCTTTTTAACTGAAAACGAAATTCTAATTTTGCTGTGTACTTTATACCGAGACTCATTTGCTTTAATTTTATATAGCATGTTAAATTCTTCTACAAACTTTCTACAACCTTTTCTCATTTAGATTTCTCCCTATAAATAAACAGCTGTGCTTTAGAAAAAAGTTACTTTCTTTTATCAAAAGACATTCTTTAGCATGCAGAAATATTTTCCTTATTATTTTAAGTAGTTTTAATTAGAACTTAAAACTATTAGGTACCTTAATTTTTAGTGAATACTGAGAAGTAGGCTATTATAAACTGTTACACTAGCATTCTTTGGATTGACAAATTTATGAACATTTTATAATTTCTGTTAACTATGAGCTTTACAACACAATCCCTCACTAAGCACGAAGTATATCTTTTTAACTGAGCAAAATTTTAAGGTTTTAGGTTACTATAAAGATTTCTAGGCTGTAGATAGTTATACACACTGTAACACACAATTAAAAAGGTGTTCACTCACCACACTTATTTAGTTCACTCATTTGTAACAACTATGCTAGATTAACTTACAAGACCTTTACTGAATATTAGACTAAGCCAAGCCTTTAAGCATTTTATTCTTAAAAGATTTAGCAGATAACATCAACTTAAATGACCTTAGGTAAACGTAGGCAGCTGATAACTACAAGGACATACTCGCCTCAGCCAAACCCAAATTAGTATTAATGCTTAACATTTTTTATTAGATTTTCTGGAAGTTTTAGAATGCCTAATTTTCACAAGTGCTTGTTTTTAAATAAATTTTTATTAAATAAATTTTTATTAATACTATCCAGAGGTAGGAAAATATTTTTCATTCATACACCTAGACACACAAACATACAAACTGAGATATGACGACTACAGTCAGCGACACCCCCCACAAAAAACATATACACAGACAGACAAACCGATATAAAGACTTGAGGCACTGATATCCAACTGCCTTCCCTCTCCTCAGCTTCCTGTCCGTGGCTTCTGGAACCAGAGGGCGGGAGGAGCGTGTTCCAGTGGGGGAAGAGGGTGGTGAAAGCGGAAGGAGAGGTGGAGGGGGTGGTGCAGCTACCAGAAGAGGACAGCAGGACAACGGCATGGTTGAGAATGTAGGACTTTAAGATGGCAGCAACACGGGGGAGGACAAATGACTTAAAGATGGTGGTGGAGAGGGGGAGGGGACTGCGAGCTGAGGGAGGCGGGTAACTGAGGTTTTCTGGCAGATCTGAAAAGGAAGAAGGACTGGGCAGACTAAGTGGCTGACAATCTTTAACAGGAGATCGGGCCAGGAGAACCTGAGTCATTGAACACAACATAAAGTTCTGGGCGGGAGTGCGAAGTCCAAAAAGCCTGCACATGTGGGATTTCACTCTACTGTCCGCTCCAGTGGCAATAATTAGTCAAGTTGGTGAGGAGGCCAGAATCAAAAGTTCCCTCAGGGAGCCAGCAAGATTGATTGTTCAAGGGATACTGAGGCCTGGCCTGAGAGCAAAGAAAGACTAGCTTCCGTTTGCAAACTTCCTGGGGCAAATATAGAGCAGCCAAATTAGAAATGAGACACCACAATGGGGTCTGAGCCTCTGCTTTCGAGGGCTGGTTCTCCATGTCTGCGCCACTCCCCAACTAATCCTGCTGAGAGGCGTGCCCAGAGTCCCAAGCATGCCAACTCACGGGAGATGGCCTGGGAGCCTGGGTGAGGGATGTCTCTCCCACAGCAGGGCCAGGGGTGGGTATCCCGGATACCCACAATGGATGGGCTGGATGCCCAAACCTGGATGTATATAAGATTTTGGACGGACCAGGTGAAACAGAGTTAGGAAAGGAAACAGACTGGGGGAAACTGAGGGACTCACTGGGAAATAGTCCACGCAGCGGAGAGCAGGCTGAGGTCCTGGGTCTTGGAATGAGGGGGCAGGGCTGCCGGTGGCTGGTCGGGGCCCCATGCTCACGCTCCTTCCGGGGTTTCAGCACCAAATGTAAGATAAATTCTAGCCGAAATAAGCAGGTGAAGAGAGGCAACAAAGGGCCAGGTAGTTTATTTGAACGCAGATTCCCTGGTGATGTTCCGTGGTTTGGGTATCACGGGCTGGGGAAGTCACACTCAGCAGGGCAGGCAGCAAGTTTTTAAAGAAGGTAGGGGGAGGCAGAGTTTAGATTTACAACAGTGCAAGGATTGGCTAGCTTAAGGCACATTTTTCAGGTTAGGAGGGGGCAGCAGCAGGGGACTTTGGCACGTCATCAGTGTCTGACGTGCTCCCCCCTCCCCCCAGTGCCTTCAACCTTACAGTAACGTGCCAAGGGTCACCGAGCTGGTAACAAGTAGAGTGTGGACTTGCACCCCGGCCAGTTTCCACCTACTATCTTTTCTGGTCGCAAGGAAATGGAAGGTCCTCAAGGTGGCTGGGAGCCCCTGGCCTGGAGCAGGACAGGACCCCCTCAGGACAGAAGAGCCGATCCTGGAGGAGAGCCCAGTTACCAAAGGTTAGGCACAGGAACAGAAGCTTGCAGGCATCAGATGAATTCTCCAGATACTGGGAGCTTGTGCTTTTGATAACCAAAGTATTTTTAGGGAACAGAAAAGTTAGCTCTTTCAGGAAACCATTATGTGAATTTGAAAAAACTTCTTAACATCCATGAGTCTTAATACCTTTATCTTCAGTAAGGGGAAAATAATGTGAACCTCTTTGTGGGGAAACTGGAAATTCCTATAACCAGGATCCTCACTTGACCCTAAACTACGTGATGATGTAACTGGCCTCCTGCTTAGGCTACTGCTTCCACACCCAGAGGCGATAAGCTGTTACTGACTGAGTCACTGCTCCGGG